GGGTCCTGCCTGCGCGCGAATGTCAGGCCCACCCGCCCCATCTGTAAAAGAAAAAGTCTTCCGCCCAAGCATAACCTTTAAGGATTTTAAGGATCTTTGAGAGGGAGAGAGAAATGGAGAGAAAGAGGGAAAGAGAAATAGAGAGAAAGAGGAGAGGGAGAAAGGGAGAGAGAAAGGGAGACAGGGAGAGAGAAAAAGAAAGGGAGACGGAGAGAAAGGGAGAGAGAAAGAGAGGGAGGGAGAAAGGGAGAGAGGGAAAGAGAAAGGGAGAGAGAAAGAAAGAGAGGGAGAGAGAGAAAGAAGGAGAGAGATTAAATTAGTAACATGGCTGTTCAGTGAATCTGATTTCCCCACTAACTTTGCTTGTCACAAGGTTGCAAAAGGTGATCACATGACCCTGGAACAATGTGACCATCATAAATAAGGATCGGTTGCCAAGCATCCAAATGTAAATTACATGACCCTGGGGATGCTGCAGTGGTCATAAGTGTGAAAAATGGTCATAAGTCACTTTTTCCAGTGCCGTTGTAACTTTGAACAGTCACCAAGCAAACTGTTGTAAGTTGAGGACTACCTGTACTTTATCACTTTTTTCCATTTTTTTTTTTTTTTTTTTTTTTGTCATCAAGCTTTTGACACCTTGCTGGGTGACTGCTGGTACTCGAATGTTGCCATATTCTAAAAGTGGTACAATCGGTGAAAAGGTTGAAAAGCCCTGGCTTAGAAAACAAACAGCATGGCAGCTCCCATGGGTTTATTGTCTTATCCTTCCTTTCAGCTTTAGAATGAATTAGGAAAAGTTTAATCCACTTGCACTGTTTTATGTTTACATGTTTGATGACAAACAGCCTTATGTTTATAAGTGACAGTTTTCCTGCTAAGTACCTGCATGTCATAAGCATTTGAATTAAAATTACCATATTGAAATCAAATCTGATGTTTTTTAATTTTTATTTGGTGTGCGTTGGAACAGGGATAGTCTTATACGGTGAGTATAGCCCAAACTCCATATTTTAACTGGAAAAGTTGGGGGTCGTCTTATACGCCCAGTCGTCTTATACGCCAGAATATACGGTATATACAGAAACATTTGCCACTTTTACCTAGTCAATGAACTTGGCCATTCTTTCCCTTCTAAATTCCTGTTTCTGGAGTAGAATTGGACGTAATGCCATTATGTCTTCACAAAGGATATTTGGAGATAGGCACAAAATCCTATATCCGCTAGCTAATTATATCCCAGCTGATGATCACGGGCATTTCTCTTGGCTGTTTGCTTGTACCTACAGTACATAAAAAGTAAAGGTGCTCTTTAGTCTTGATATTATTAAAAAGTTGCCATTTTTCTACTATTATTTTTTTACTTCCCATTCTAGCTAGCAACTCAGATTTTCCCAGGTGGTCCTATATCTAAATAAAAGGAAGGCAGCCCTCTTCAACTTCTGAGATCAGCCAAAGTCGGTGGAGTGTAAATAAGATTGGAGACTGACAAAAACAAATAAAACAAAACCCCTCAGATTTTGATGGGCTTAAATCACTTTAAATACAGTAAGATTTTCTTTGTTCAGTTCCTTGTTGGCTGCTTTTGAACTATAGTCCACTGATCCACTCTATATTGCTAAGGCAATTTTCTGCCTTCAGTTTAGCCTATAAACATTCAGGATAATATTCTTAGCCAAAGTCTTTTTTTTGTTAGAGCCTAAATGGCAGCAAGGCTTAAGTTCTTTTAAAGGAATGTTATAAAATGCCAAAACTGCATGAGAAAACTTTAGTTAATCACATATAGAATTGCTAGATTCAAGTTCTAAAGCATATCAGATTTGCAGAGCATGTAAATTATAAAATTATTCAGAGACAGCTCCCAGATAATTATTAAATCACTAAGTTTGGTTCTGCTCAGACACTCAGAGCAATGCTTTAATTACACAGGAACAATTAAGTAGCTTGTTTCCCGAAACAGTAATTTATTTTAAAATGTCCAGTGAGTTTCATATCTAAACAGGATTTCAATTGCCATTTCTTTTGGTGCTGCAATTACTTGGCTGTTTTTTTTTTACTCATTGTGTTGGATTCCTGAATTCTTTTAGTTTTTTTTTAACAAATGCTACTCTTCTTGCAACAAAACATTAAAAAGGAGGACAATTAGCATTGTTAGAAAAGCCTTGAAGATTGTATACTCTATTTAAAAATACTTATCCTTGATGACCTGAAAATCAAATTATCTGCCTTCTTCTTTTTACATATATGTGTAACACAGCAATCTGTAGAATGAATACTTTTTTGACAGTATATCCATCTATCCTCTTTGAAATGATAAAAAATTTGAAATGGCTTTAAAAAACCCTCTTGTTTTGCATACAAATTTGAGAAAAATAGCCATGAATTCCTATGAACACTAGGTGGCACAGTTTAATATGACAAATACAATAGTATGGTAGAAAATTAAAGACACAGAAAAAGATGCCATCTAGTCCTTTCAGTATGATAGTGGCATTTAAGAAGAAATGAACCAAATTTTTAGAATAAGGATGCTCTTCTAATATTATGAGTTACAATATGATAAATATATCTAGGAAACCTATAATTTTTATCTATTATTCACTTGAAGTATTTTCTAGAGAAACATGAAAAGTTTTTATCTTACATCCAAAACAGCATCTTAAAACTCTAATATTTTAGAAGAATCATTTTTAATAAAACCCTTACAGGAAATTAAATATTAGCAGCACCAACCAGGTGGATTGTATGTTGTAAATATGACTATCTTCATGTTGACATTTGGCAGCCATAACTAAGTTAAAACTGTTCTCCTTTGTGCAAAAAGAGACATTCATCCTTTTCCTGTATGGATGAAGGGATAAATTCTTCTATTCGTGCACATTTTATCCTTCCACATTTTTCTACACTTTGAGTCACATGGAAAAGGAGCACTTTATTTCAGAAGAAGATGAGAAATAAAGGACAGAGTTGCTCTTTATATGATTCCATGAGAAAGGAAATGAAGTGTTTTGTCAGGAAAGGGAGGAATTTTGGTGGAATGTATTTTAGGAGAAAAGAATGAGGTAATAAAATTAAAAGGAAAAAGACAAATTGGGATTTTACTTGCCAAGTTGGGATTTCTGTTTCCTTTGCTCCTGGATCTTTATGCTTGTCTACTATTAGTTTTAGCTTAGTTACAGTTTTCACAACTTCAAAAGGGGGTTTTCAATACTGAAGTAAAAATAATAACAAAACTTTTCTTCAAAATTAATTATAACATAATAAAACCAATGAGATTTGACTTATAAAATGTGGATTAAGTGAAGAAACCGTAAAAAAAATACTTGTAATGTGAATACTAGAAAACGATTTTATAGAAAATGTGATAAATTTAGTTTTGACTGTATTCTGCTTTAGATTGTTCTGTGAGACACAAGATAGCAGTTAGGTAATTGATAATGCTGTCAAAAAAGAAGAAAACAACATGGAGCAATGGAATCTCATCCATGTAAATTTGGCAATCCCATCCTAAAAAGTAATTCAGAATACAAAATATTACAGCAGGAATCTCATTTTTATAGTAGATAAAATACTGGAATTAAGCTAAGAAAACATGGGATTAGGTACTCATTACAAACGTGGGATTAGGTACTCATCATGGAGAACAGTGATATTGGTTTCATAATAACACCTCCATTTAAAACTAGTCTCTCCTAAAACAATAAAAAATGGAAATTGCTGGGGCAGTATAGGTCTAATGAAGCTTGCCCCTCAAAAGGTGATCTTGGACCACTTGCTAATTTTGTTTAGCCTTACAAGGCTAGAAGAGGGAAACTACTGTATGGGTTATCTTAAGTTCAACTTTGCAAAGTCTTGTTTAGTCTCTTGCTGAACAGAGTAGAGCAGACCATGTGTGCAGTGTCTGCCTCCGATGTCTTTGTATATATATCCTCTCAACCCTTTACTTTGCCACACTGAACAAGGAAGTTCAAAAGGTACTTTTCCATAAATGTACTTGAAAGCACTTAGAAACTTCCTATAGACATTGTTGCTGAACATGATGATTCGGGATTTTAAACTACTTTCTTTGTATATCCATTAACATTATACTCGTGCTTAACAATGGCGACTACGACTGCCGGAACTGCTATCCCTAAACAATGCCGTCACATGACATTGTGCTTTACAACTACATCACTTGGTGACAACAGTTCTGTCCCAATTTCCTTCATAAGCCAAGAAATACCTGTAGATAATTTTTCTTTTAAAAAAATCATAGTTCCTTTGTTGTAAATAACTGTTTTATTGCAGCAAGTGACAGGCAGGCACCCTCCTCTTCCTCTCTATTTGTTCTGTAGCTTGGATGACAGGTCTCAATCTGCATGGATTTCTATCCCATTTAGGCTTATAGCCCAGAGTTTCCCAACGTTTCCGGCTTTGCAGATTAGGGGGGTGGGGGGAGGGGATGGTTTGCACAAACGGCATGTGCAGCTTTTTTATATGCAGTTCATGCAAATGGAGCACTCACGCTGCGTACATAAGTGATACGGGCACTCGCTGGTGGGTTCCACGGCCTAATTGCAAACCTCTCTCACCCCATTAGTGGGCCATTGCCCACAGGTTGGGGACCCCTGCTATAGGCCTAGCATTAAAAAAAAGAAATGGTTTGTTCCAATTTCTCACTTTTTCTATGAACTTGACATTGTGTTCTGCTCCAGCGGAACACAAAACATTGACATCCTTGAACGTCTTATTCAATTGAAGCATAGTTCATAATAAAATGAACATTTTGAATGGGGTTATTTTGTGCTAAACACATTTCTCATTTTGATGTATGTACTTAGTAAAATATATTTGATTATTATTACTGCCAGCTTCATTGGCCTTTTAAAGTCACAGTTTGGGAGGAAAAATACTTTTTGGTGGTAAGGCTAAACTAACCGGATGACAATTCATTTTTCATGTTGAAAACATGACTTTTTTTCCCTACAAGATTCTAAATTACTCAATTTTTTTTGCAGCATCAAGCTGCATGTCATCCAGCTGTCTTCAGAACTATTGATGAAATTTTCAAGTAAGTTTGCATGTAATTTATGTGGGAGGAAGAACTATTTAAAATGATTCAATCATATGCAGTTGTTTGAATATGATAGATACATATGTGATAGAATGAATTATTACATGTCAAGATTTGTATATATGTGTGTATGTATAGGTATATGGATATGGGGATCTTTAATATATCTTAACCAGGAGTCATTACTTTCCACATGTTAGCCTCAGAACCTTTTTGATGAATTTTTGCAATGGTTCTTTTTCGCAAAACTGCTACAGATTCTTTTATAACACTGTTTTTGGGATTGACTTTACCTTATATTCTGCTATTACTTAAATAAAAAATACAATGTAAACAATTGAATTTAATTGCACCAGGGTGGTCTTGTTTCATTCAGAAACTAAGCAGGATCTGACCTGACAGGACTAAGAGTTGAAGACTAGACTGGATTATTTTAAACATAATGCCCCCCCCCAAAAAGGGAGTGACAGACAACTTCACAATATTTCAGAGAAAATTGCATTGGTGTCTCTCTGATCTTGTGGGAATCAAATTGTATGCAAAGGTGAATATATATTATGTATAATTAAAATAATGAGAATCTGAAACAAATGGCTAATTCTGTACCGCAAAGAAAAGTTGCTTTTAGTTATTTATCTCTCTATGGAAATTAGATAAGGTATACAGCTGAAGAGAGCTGATTTATTAGCAGGGACTTTCATAATCTCATTCCCTAGATTATTTTGATGGAATGCTCTTCCTTTGCAATTAATTTAAGTGGTTAAGGCACCTCTTATTGATCATTAGACTCTTTGACTCTTAAACTCTCAGCCTGAATGAATGGATTAGAAGCAGATCATCTTCTGAGCAAAGGTACACCATATAGAATGTTGATAGCAGCCATTTTGGGGAACTGGGGATTAGAAATGCAAACTCTTGTTCAGTAAATATGAAGATTTCTACTCTTCCCCCTCCCTCTGTTATATTCACTTAACGGTTACTTCCACTAGAACCAGTCCTTTTCCTTTCCCAAGCTTTCAAAGTTACAGAATTGGAAAGACTGGTAAATTAGTGAGGCTGGTAAAACAGTTTATCCAATACCTTCATCATTTCTATATGAAATTGCCGATGGGATTTGTGGAGTTGCACATCAAAAACATACTTATTGATTCATTAAATAATTATACTTCCAATTTCCAAAGCCAGCATATTAGGGATTGAGGAAAATGAAAGAATATTGTAACAGAATGCACAGGAATGTTTTCTATTGCCATTTTCACTATTTGTTTAATTTTACAAACATATTCTGGTGTGAGATTTTGTAACTAAGAAACTTTGTAACTAAGAAACTTCAATTATAGTAGATATAGTAGATCATATGGTTTGTAGTTGAAAAACAATGTTCCAACATCATCAGAAGGATTTGTTCTAACGGCAGTAATAGACAGGTGTTTAATATAGTCATATTCAAGGACAAGCAAAATGAAGTTGGGGATTTCTTCACTTCCCATGCGGTCTAAAAGCTAGATGAGTTAAGCCCAAAGCTTGAGGCATGGGAAGAATGTTCTTGTTTGGGGTTTTTTTTTTTGTTTTTTTTTGCCTCCCTCTCTCAATTAGCGACTGTGTGATTGGTATACTCATAATCTGACCTGTCGTAATTAAACTTTTCACTGCTCAGGAATGCCCTGCTGGAAACTGCTGGAGCTCAAGAAATAATGATTGTAATGCAGGTGTTTACACAGTGCTTTGTTCAAGCTTACCATGAGAATAATAAGCAGGTTAGTCAAGTTGCTTTCTCATTATTTTTTAAAAATGAAACGCTTCAAAATTTAGGGCAAAAGAATCATTTTGAAGTTTAGATCAGTGGACAAGTATATCAACCCAAATAATACCTGGTAACATCCATTTCAGAATTTTAAATTATATCAAATTTAAATTAGACACAAAGCCAATAAATATCTTTCAACCTACATGTTACTTAGCTAACATCAATATTCACTATATATTTCAGTGCAGATGTAATTGAGCATGTTGTGGAAACTTTAGATGCATCTTTATAACTTATAGAAAATCTTACTGGTCCATCATCTAGGGCAGGGGTGTCAAACTGCCGGCCCGTGTGCCGGACCCGTCACCAGGAAACCGCGCCCACCCCATTGCAGGCAATGGGAAAAAAGCTCCAATACACCGTGCGGCGTCACATGACGTTGCAAGTTTGACATGTCTGATCTAGGGTAAAACACAGCTATCTGTTTTAATATGAAGTAAGATGTTAATTTTTTTTTGCATTCAGAAGACCTTTTCTGTTCTACTCTTGTTTTACATAACGAACAACTAAAACACATCATTGGTTTATAGCTAACCTCATTTGGCATTTCCTTTGGTTTGTATTGCTCTCTATAATAACTTTACAAGTGCTCCTTTTTGCTTTAGTCAGTTAAAGTAGCTGTGAAAATCTAAGTTTGGGCCACACAAATACTTTAGTATTTCTCTGCTCAAAAATTTCCTTTAGTAAATGCTCCAGTGGTTTTTCCATGTTGTGAGGGAGATCAATTGATCAGTGGTTATTTACGTTGCAAATGATGCAGTAATTAATTCTAATTAGCATTGTAATTAAATCTCTTTTTGAGTTTCAAAGGTATGAATTAGGAGTAAAATTGCAGCTGTCTAAGTGAATATGTATAGGTGCCACACCCATTAAATTTGCTTATACGGCAGCAGCAAATTTTGCTGCCTTGGCATGAATGGGGTGGCTGGGTGGAGAACTTAAACTTAATTCCACACCCTTTAAATAGCCAGAAGCCAACTGTGTTAATCACTTTGTTATTTATGTGCTTTGTTGTTAAGCTGTTTTTAATATGTTAAATATTAATAATTTAATATGTTTTGGCATTTTATTTATGCAATTTTTTACTTTTACTGTTACAGTTTAGGGAAAAATCTGGGATTGGTATGGTATGCAGGCAGACAGGAATGCTTTCTGGCTTTTTATTTGTTTACGCTTTAGTCCTGAACAGACTGAGTTCTGTCCATCTCCATAGTATGGGTCAGTGATGGCAAAACTATGATGTGTATCAAAGATGACATGTCATGAACATTTTGGGTGACACATCCGTGCTCACAGACACCTGATAACAGCTACTCTCAAAAGCATGCCTGATCTCATGTCATTTTTGGAGACTACAGAGTCTCAAAAATCGTAAGAAAATGGGGTCTGCTTTTGCATGCTTTTCTGAGGCTATGGAGGCCATGGAAGAGCATTCTCTTAGCCGCTTTAAGAATGAAGGCCTCAGAGAACCTCAAGTAGGGGCTATCAACAGAAAGAGAACACCGCCTAAAGGTAAGCAGCGCACAAAAGATCCTGGGGAACGCTAGGCCACAGAGACAATTGCACCTTTCCCCAAGGCTTGCGTGCCTTGGGGAATGGTGCAAAACAGCCTTTCTGAGTGGCAGTAGTGGTGCCTAGGATTGAAGTCAAGGCCTGGGCTCCATTTCAAGCCCAGCCTTGGTGCTGCCGCCAAGTGCTGTTGTTCAGAGTGGCCTAGATTGGCGGGGAGGGAATAGAGAATTGTTTCTCTTTTGTTCAGAGATGTTTGTCTATGACACACCAGTTAGGCATCTTCTGAATTTTTGACATGCCAAACCCAAAAGGTTCGCCATCATTGATATAATACTGCACAAATATTTGACATTCCTAAACTATGAATAAACTATTAGCATGTGCCTTAACAGCATAACATAAGCTTCCTAATACATTTAGAGCAGTGTTTCTCAACCTTGACAATTTTAAGGCATGTGGACTTCAACTCCCAGAATTCCACAGCCAGCAATGCTGGCTGTGGAATTCTGGGAGTTGAAGTCCACATGCCTTAAAATTGTCAAGGTTGAGAAACACTGATTTAGAGCAAGAGATCATCTATGCAATCATGGGTATCCATGAGGAGAGACTTGTGGGAAAGTGACAATACACAGGTCACAGTTATGCATATGATGTAATTATATCATTTGCATCATGACATGACTGGTCCAATCACTTAATAATGCAAATTTGTGTGATATCTGGATGATGCACAGATTTCATCATGGCTTTTACCAGCTCCTTAATGTGTATTATCTTATATTTTAATATTTACTAAGCATATTTGCTTGCAGGATTATCATTTGGTACAATCAAGACAGAATGAATGAAAATATTTTTTTTTGCTGATATAGGCTAAGATGTCTGTGTCTATAACCCCCCCCCCCCCAGTGTTGATATGTTTCCTCCCATCAGGTATTGAAAAATTTGTCCTTTCTGATAATCATTGATAAAGGATGAAGCTTTCTTAATCTTCTTAAAAGCCATTTATGAAATGAATTCTTTAAGTAATATAATCATGTGTTGAAGAAATTATTTTTTGCTGCCTTACAAGCATCTTCAGTGAAGTAGTAATTCCTTCACAACTTTCATTTAACAAAAAAACTTTTACAATTTCTTATCTTGATTTACATATGTTACAGAATAAGGAAATATAATTTATTCATCCAGTCATGTACTTCTCTGTATTTCCAGACAATGAGTCATACGTATCATGGTGTTTTCATTTACCCTAATTCAGGAAATATTTGAAGTGAGATTTCTAAACAATTATTGCTGTTTCTCCCCCCCCCCCCGCTCGTTGCAGAATTATTTTTTATTAATCAGGTAGTTCACATGGATTCCAATGGTTGTATTGAAAATTGTGAGTTTTGATATCTTTTGTTTCTCATGAAATGGATACTGATGCATTAAAGTAGCTTTCCCCAACCATGGTGAGTTTCAGTTACTGATTGTAGACTTTATAACCCAAATCATGCAGAAAGATTACTTGAAAGAAGCTGCATAGTAAAATAGGCTTTTTTATCCCATGCCACTACATATCTGTAGAAAGCCTTTTTTTTGTCACAGAATGGCCAATTATACAGTCTCTTCTAAAGAACCTATTTCTGTGCATGTGTTTTAAGTACAGAAAGTAGTTTTTAGCTTTAGATGCATATTTTCTCTTATGGCAGATTTTAAAGATTCTCATAAATTAGTTTAGGTCCTTGATAACTAGAATTAAAAATAATAATTTCATTTCAGCATAAATTTCCACTGAAGGCCTATTTTCCTCATAATCCACACTCACTTGTGATAGCTTTCCTTAAAGCTCCTTCAGGTAAGCTCATTTACATTTTTTTCATGTTACTCATTAATACTGAGTTAATATGAGTTCAGTAAGCATCAAGTATGCTTAATACTGGTGTTCACATTTCTCTTTAGATTTGCCTGGTAATAGTCTATATCAGCATTTAGACCACCTTGCTGGAATGCTCAAAACAACAGTAGAAGTCAAGGGCTCTGAGTAAGTAGCAGTGGACTTGCTTTCCTTTCTGCTTTTTTAAAGATTGTCTTAGCTTGTGAGCGATCCTTTTTTGTAATTTGCTACCATGTATGGGAAACAAACTTATTTTCAATGCATTATTTTCGTTAGTGTAAAATTAGCACTATTGCATATTACTATTCCTATTGATCTTCTTCAAATAAAAAACTTTGCTAGTCTTAATAGTTTCAGTTTAGAGCCTTCTGAGAACTTAAGTCATATTCCAATAACAGTGGTACCTTGGTACTCAACTGCTTTGAAACTCATCGAATTTGGTACTCAGCCCATGTCCTGGTACTTGTTTGGTACACAACACACAAGCTAGAATTGTCAGTGTCGGCTGCCTTGTGACTCACTACATTATTCCTTATGGGAAAAATGTGTAGTACTCATGGAACCAATTAATGATGTGTACCAAGGTACCACTGTAAATAGAAAGGTAAGGTTGATAAACATGTTGGTGTTATTCCAGGTCTTTGGATGAAGCCTTCAACAACTGGCTTTTGTTGATTCACTTTGGAGAATGGGCTGATCTTGCAGCAAAGCAGTTGCTGTTGTCACAAGCAGAGTCCTCTAACTTGTTGTGGCTTTTGGTATTTTACTATACTCCAAACAACGTGAATCAGCAGAGAACTCAAATAATGGTAAGAAGTTCTAGCTATGGTAATAAATGATGTTTTGAAAAACAAAGATTTTTTTCGCGACAATGCTTGCAAAACAGCTCAGAAATCATTGCTAAAGCATTCTTCATTAGCTTTATTCTATAGGCTGGAACAGTCTTCAGGAATAAAAAATAAGAGTGGCTTAAAGGATTGGATGAATGACAATGAGATGGCCTAAAAAAGTATCCATAGTCCCTTGGTATGTGTTAAGATCCATGAAGATTTGTATTCAGCCAACTATATTCTCTGACAGTTCTTCTAAATTATTTAGTGAGAAGGTTTTATAGCTTTTGAGAGTCTCATTGTGTGATTTTTGAGTATTAGTAATAAGAGGGTAGTTCTATAATGATTACTAATGGAGAAAGTAGGTTAACCTTATATATCTCATGTTCCTTTCAAATTTAGTATTAATCTTATGATAAAGGAACTACTGGCTCTTTCTGTATTCTTATTTGACTTATTGCCAAATACTTTTTAATATAAAGATGTAGGGGTGTTATTATTTTAGTGATATTATTGCATTTTATCCTACCCCTTAAGAATGGCTTACTTTAAAACAAGTGAAATGTCATTTAGTTTCAGATAGTCTTGGGTTACAAGGGCAAATGGGACCAGAATTGTTGTTACTAAACAATGCATTTGTAAAGTGCCACATAAGATGACCACATCACTTGGTAATGGCAATCCCAATTATTATCATAACCCCAAGACAATACAGGTTATTTAAGTGAGGATCTCATGTGACCATGACATGGGAAGAAAGAGGAGTCCCAGAGAAGCATGTCAGCAGGTATGGGGGGGTGGGGTGGGGAAGGTGGATGTTAGGGAGTACAGATGGGTAAGTATTGCCACCTCACTGAGAAGAAAAGGGAAAGGCAAACATTCTCTGCATGCCACTCCTGGGTGGGACAGTCCTCCCACTGAGTAGCAATGTGGGGATGTTTCTGTGGTGCTTCCCCTGCACGTGGCTGAATGCCTGGTGGTCAAAGGCTTCTTGCCTGGCGAGTTATCTGGAGGAGAAGGTGGGGATACAAGGCATAGAGGCCATAGTCCTTGAGGGCAGCCAGAGTTGGCAAGCCCAGCAGAGGGGAGGAAGCAAAGAAGATGACAAAGATGGGAGGGGGCATTGTAAATGCAAGTTGGCCAGTATTTTGATTACATGATCACAGGGGTGCTGCAATGGTCAGAAGTTTGAGGACCAGTTGTAAATCCATGTTTTTCAGCACTATCGTAATGTTGATCAGTCATTGAACAAATAGATATAACTCAAGGACTACTTATCCTGCATCCTACTATACAACTGAAACACTGGTCTAAAGCAGAGTATTTGTCTTTGCTTTCTCTCTCTCTCTCCTAAATTCTTATTAAAACATTCTTATTAGTTTTGTCTCTTTCACAGTTCTCAAGAGAGCTGAGAATTGGGTGGTCCATTGGCTCAAGGCCAGAGAACAGTTAAGTCAGTCAAGTTGCTATGAGCAATTTTCAGGTGATCTATGTAGTGATGAACAATTGAACATTTCAGTTGCTTCTCTCAAGGATAGCTTACACAACACTTATTAATATTTATGCTTTGATTGCGCTTCTATGCCATCTATGCTTAATATACATTAGAATATGCATAGAAAGGTCTCCTTGAATGGGAGCAGCTTTACTGAAATATAGTATCAAATATATAATTGCAAAAGAGGTATTACTAGTAACAGAATCTAAGGTGGTCTTTGGCTGGTGGAAAATAGCACAACAGATGGCACCACAAAATATTTGTGATTTCTATAAATGCTAATTGTCATTTCCTTTACTTCCCAAGTCCTCTTTCATTAAATTGTTATCAAGCTTCTGTTTGCACCTTTAATTTCTGTAGCTACTCATATCCTAATTTAACATTCTACAGTAAATAGTTTCCATCCCACACTTCTTTTTCTATAGTTGCAACACAGATGCAACAACACAAAGAAATTAAGGATAATTTCTTTATCCTTAAAAAAAGTCTGCAGCAATTTCCACAAAGAAAAGGAAATATTTAATCCTTGACAACAGAATGAAACTGCCACCATGAAACATGAAAAGCTTTATAGAAAATTAAATTTAGAAATGAATTTCTGTGTAAATTACTGGATGTGGAAATTATATTGAGCTAAAAGTTAGATTTGTAAATACTTACATTATCTGAGTACTTTGTATCAAGAATTTCAGATAATTGGCTTTTACAGCAAGGCTACTTTTTGTTAGTGTAAGGACACAACAATTCTATTTAAATGTCACATGAAAGTAAATTTCAGAAAATTTACCTTTGAAAGAAGCGAGATAAATTGCCACTGTTTCTTATGATCTGCCTGCTTGCTTTTGGTTGTTTCATGGTGTTTTCTACATAACATTTTATAGATAAAATAAATAATATATATTCCACCTTCAATACCATTGTTAATTTTTATCCTGTCAATTAATGTTGGTCTTTCTTGTCCCATTTGGAGAATGTGGGCCAGGATAATCAGGGAACTAAAATTTATGTATGTATTTAAGCCTTTCTCTTCTAGGTTTCTATAAACAGTGGTGTTATGAATAATTGGTGTGATAATTGAGTTAACCATGATTATTTCTGAGCAACATGGTTGCATTCTATCCTGTTTAGTGGATTGGGATAAGATAGATATTCAACAAGGCTGATCCATGGCTTTGGTCTTGCTGCCCAGGTCTAAATGTATTTTGCCCACTAATGCAAAGTCCAAGAGTGAATCTAGCCATGAATCTAGTTCAGTGTTTCTCAACCTTGGCCATTTTAAGATATGTGGACTTCAACTCCCAGAATTCCCTAGCCAGCCATGCCGGCTGGGGAATTTTGGGAGTTGAAGTCCACACATCTTAAAATGGCCAAGGTTGACAAACACTGATCTAGAACTTTTACATCCTTCAAAAGTTCAAGAAACCAGTGCTGGCTACTTCCTTGTTCTGGCTTCTCTTAAATAACCTTATTTCTTCAGAAAAGTAAGTTACAAAAATTCAGAGGGCTACAGTGTAGATTTCAGCCACTATAATCTCTAGGTTGCTTAGCTGGCTTGCATGCTTAAGGCAGAACTAGAACACATAGACTCCTGGTTTTTAGCCTGGTGCCGTAACCACTATACCAGGGGTAGGCAACCTCGGCTCTTTTATGACTCATGGACTTCAACTCCCAGAATTCCTGAGTCAGCATAGCTGACTCAGGAATTCTGGGAGTTGAACTCCATGAGTCATAAAAGAGCCGAGGTTGCCTACCCCTGCACTATACCAAGCTGGTTCTCATAAGTCAGTTAAGGGCTGATACCAGCTGCCTTTTGGACTTTGGTTTTGCCTGTTTTGATTGTTGTTTTTATTTTACAAATGTTATTATTGTATTTTTATGTTATAGTTACCAAGAATCTATATTAGATGGTGGCAAGGATAACTATGTTATATATGTAAATATTTGACTTCGGGCACATTTCATGCAATACTGTGCAGCGATTGACAATAGAAAAGGAGTGCATTGTGTGTTTAAAAATAACTTTGAGATAAAGATATTTAAACAGGATATATATATAGTTTATATATATCAAAAATTTCTTTAAAAATGTGATCCCTGGGTAATTCCATATTAAAACAGTGAAAAACACACGAGCACCAGGGAATGTGGTAAAAAATTTTGGTTTAATGTTAAAATTACTAAAACTACTAATAAAACCAATTAAAACGCCTAGCTTTCGTCAGCTATCTGCTGACGTCCTCAGGGCTCAAAATGTCAGT